TGAAAACTTTTTTGATAGTTTTTTGCGATAGGGCGCATGCGCTCGCCAGATACAGAGAGACAGAGAAAGACAGAGAGAGAGAAATCATCCCCCAGGGGGGATGGCCACGCTGCAATCCCTTGGGCATGCACGCACACACGCCTGGCGTGAGTTTAAGCCACTGGGTCCAGACTCGAACCGTGTTTGACTACATGGGAGTCCAGTGACATAGTCATTACACTAACTGCTGGTCCCTTAAAGTGAAAACTTTGATCCTTGATTCAAAAAAATTTTATCACTGAAGCAGCACTTCTTTAGCTGCATCTTGAAGTCTCGGATACAGAGTTTTCATTTTCCCAATAGTAGGGAATTTCTAAATATTAAGCTTCTTAAATGTATTGTGACCTATTTTGTGAGCCAGAATATGGTCTATCTTGATTTTTTTTTTAAAAGGAACTTAATATGATTGACACACAAAAAGCTGTCCAGGCCAGCTGTGGTGGTGCTATACACAATGCTGCCATGCCGGCATCACATAGTACTATCCTAGTTCTTGTACTCAAGGGTCTCCCTGTACATGCTGGCTGAGGGGGTAGGCCACTGCATGACGACCCTGTTGGTGCTTTCACAGAAGAAATAGATGGATAAACAAAAAAGCTGTACATCTGTGAAACCATCACAATGCCAGACATTATCTATCACTCCCAAGAATCCTTCTCTTCTACTCTACTGTACTTTGTGATGCTTTACCCGTATGATTTACTCTTAGTGAATTTTTCATCACAGGCAGTATTGTTACTATAGGCACTATGCTGTAGTCATCAATTACAATGCCTGGTAAGCTCCAATGTTTAAAAAAAAGTTTTTTTTTGTTTGTTTGTTTGTTTGTTTTTTATCACCAGGTGTTCTCAGCAGAGACCAGGGGCGAGGAAGAGATCAAGCACTTCCCAATGGGGTGTAGTCACATGACAATCCTTTCCCCCCAATTTCTCCATTCTATCAGGATTTGGAGCATGCACATACTTGTCTGGCATGTTTCTTAAACTGCCAGGGCTGGGATTAAAATCCTGATCAGCCAGCCACATGGGATTTGATTTTTCTATGCACAGCACTTAACTATTGTGCTATGGAGAATGCCCTCAATTGCCAATACAAGGCAGTAAGGCTAAATCCAGGTTGTGTTAGGCAAAAGACAAGCCCCATTTTTATAAACTATTAGAAGTCCCTTTTCCATTAATTGCATTGCATAAATTGTTATCAAGATTTTTTTCGAAAGATACAAGTTCTTTAAATACTGAGTAAATTTAAGGTCTTAATCCAAAAATATCCAGTCCCTTATTGTGATGGTTGGCTTTGGATGTCACCTTGACTGGATTGAAAGATGCCTGGAAGCCTGGTGAAACACTGGATCCCTAAATCTGAAACTGGAACTATACTGTTTCAGTCTCTCAGCTGTTCCTCCAGCTTTCACTACATTACACAATTTCTCTGCCTTGTGATAATTCTTGTAATAAATTCCTCCACTCTCTTTTCTTAGTTTGCTAGAGTGAGTGCACTTGCCAGACGGATGGAGAGGATAGGGACTTGGAACACTGCAGTCAGCCAAGTGGGATCCAGCCAACTTATACCATGCCATTGGCTGACCTGATTTACAACATCCTTTAAAAAAAAAAAAAAAAAGATTATTTAACTTTATTTAGTTTGAGTGGAGGTGGGGGAGGGGGAGAGAGCAAGATAAAGTGAGAAAGCAAGCCGCCAGGTCCAGGAATTGAACCATGGTTAACCATGTGGGAGTGCAAATGCCCTTAACCACCATGCCACCTGCCAGCCCCACAACATTCTCTTTTTAAAAAGAATTATTTTATTATTTAATTTGCTATACGGCATGTGCACTCACCAGAGACAGAGAAAGTGAGAAAGACAGCTGCCAGGTCTGGAATTTGAACCAGCCAGTCATGTAGGGCTCCAGTGCCTTAACCACTGTGCAACCTACTGACCCCTCAATTTACAACTTTTAAATTCACTAAAGGTCTTTTCTATACAGGAGCATGTAAGTTTTACTGTTCTATGTATAGTTGCGTACTCAAACTTCACTTGCATAAATAATTATGTAGTTCCGGACAGTTTTATTACAATTTAGGTTAAGAAAAGGATTTTCAGTGACAAACAGAATTCAAGATGTTTAATTATACAGAGGATTTTTTTTAAAAGAGAGATTTTGGGGACCAGCAGATGGCACGGCAGTTAAAGGTGCTGGACTCCCACGTGGCTGACTGTGGTTCAAGTCCTGGATGTGGTGGCTTGCTTTCTCACTTTGCCTCTCTCTAATCAAACTGGAAAATAATAAAGTTATATAATTCTTTAAAAGATTTTTTTGCTATAGAGCACGTGTGCTCACCAGAGACAAAGCAAGAAATTAATGCCCAGCGGGGATAGCCACGCCACAATCCCTTCTCCTCCCGGGATTTTGGACACACATGCATATGTGTTCAGTGTGTTTCAAGCCTCCACATCTGGTACTCAACAGTGGTCGACCATGTGGAAGTTCAGCAACATAACCATTATACCATCTGCTGATCCATGAAGAGGACTATTGATACTACCGATATGGTTTCTCAAAGATGAGTTAACTAGGGAACTAGCAGTTAGCGTAATGGCTATGTCACTGGACTCCTATGTAGTCGACCGTGGTTCACGTCCCGGACCCGGTGGCTTAGAACTCACGCTGGGCACGCGTGCATGCGTGCCCAAGATCCCGAGAATGGAGAAGGGATTGTGGCATGACCATCCCCCCTGGGTGGTGATTTCTCGCTTTCTGTCTCTATGTCTGTCTGGCCAGCACATGCGCCCTATAGCAAAAACCACTCCAAAAAAATAAAAAAAGATGAATTAACTAGATAAGCATCAAAAGGATGGTCAAAGAAAAATCTGATAATCAGATATCCTGTTAAAACTAGTCATTTAGCAAGTGCTTTAACTTATTGAGTTGTTGGGAAAGTCACAAAGCATTTTTGCATAGAAAAACACATCATGACTTTCCTGACAACCTAACAGATTCTTTATGAGCTCAGGTCTTTTATTATTATTTTTTTTAAAGAGAGATTTTTGTTATAAGGTACATGCACTTGCCAGAGAGACAGAAAGCAAGAAAGCACTGGCCACGCCACAATCCCTTCTCCTCCATTTTCCTCTGGGGATCTTGGGCACACGCGTGTACACACACACCCAGCATGCGTTTCAAGCTACTGGGTCTGGAACTTGAACCTCAGTTGACTATATGGGAGTCCAACAATGTTACTCCATCTGCTGGTCCCAAATGTCTTGAGTTTTTAAGGACAGTATATAAAATAGAGAAAAACAATGAAATTAGGCTATATGGCAAATTACGTCCAGTAAATTAGTATCTAATCCAAAGTTCAAACTCTAAAACATTCCATCCCATATGGTTACTTTCTCAAAGATTACTGACATTAGGCTTTTGCCACAAATTGATATTTAAAGTCTTAATCCTTCAAGATTTGAACTCTAGGCTGTGTTTAATGTTTAAGAAGCAATTATTTCATATTACCTTTCTGTTCTTGACTATTACTGAATCAGATTTTGATGTTACATAATTTTTACCTAAGAAACTGAGTGTCTTAAATTTCAAACTGAAAAGGATGAGAATGTTCAGCCCAGCAAAAAGTATCCTGAATTCACATTCCTTGCTGTTCTACCAAGTTAATGACAGATTTATACTTTGATTCTAGCCTTTTTTCCATATGGCTATGTTACTTAGCTTTATTATAAACCAGGATTAAGTTCTTATGGTTCAGTCTGGCAATGGAGATCCAATTTTGGATCCTCTGACATAGGAAGTATTTACTTGAAAAAAATTCTCATGGGCTCACTGCTCCTACCTATAATAAATCACTTAGCTAGAAAAGCATGACTCTGATAGATTAATTTCCTCTCCTTGAAAATCCAGAGTGAAAGTTTTAGTCCACTCCCTATTTTTTTTTTTTTTTTTAACATTACAAATAATTGTAAAGTGCAGAGCTTTCTATACCCCTCTTTCAGGAAACTGGTCCTTCCACAGGTTAACCCGATTCAGTATAACCTTACCAACTACTCTGCTTGACAATCATCAAAGTCCAGCATTTTCTCCAAGCAGTGTGACAGCTGGTCTACCCTCCCTGTTAGTATCCTTGTGTACTTCTCTCCCACGCTGTACCAGGCTGGTACAATGGCTGTTTTTTCCTAACTAATACAGTATGGCTGAAATACTCCAATCTCTGGCTATGTCATAAGAAAATAAGGTTTGGCTCAGCCTCCACTTAACCACTCTGGGAGAGGTCAGATGCCAACTGTCAAACAAACAGCCCTAAGGAAATTCCCGCATAGTGAGGGACAAGGCCCAACAGCCATCTTAGCGGCTTAAAAGCCTGGTCAAACCTTCAAGGTGATACAGCTGTGCTTGATACCTTGCCTGTAACCCTTATGAGAGATCTCAAAGCAGAATTGCATAGCTAAGCCACTCCTAGATTCCTGACTCAAAAACTGTGGGAGATATTATGTGTTTGCTGTTTTAAGCAGTGAAATTTGTGGGTGATATGCTACACAATGTGTTGACATTGCTGAGACACTTTGCCTTAAGATCACCCAGTTTTTAAAATGGAATAAACAAAACTAATTACAATAATTATGACTAAAGATACTACATTTTGAGTTAATCTTGTTAAAGATTTTAAATTTGTGTTTATTTGATGTTTAAGAAAAAACTTAAAAACCAATTCCCAACTCAACTAAAATCCTTCCTCACTACAAAAACTAACCAGAGAAAACCTGAATAAATGTTGTAGTCAACATACATTACTAATTAGATTTTATCCTAAAGTGTCAGATATTTTTCAAAATGACAAAGACTTAATAGCAGTCAGCAGCAGGCAAGCTCCTTGGATCTTATTTTTTCTCTTAGTGTTGCTTCAGAATTCAACATAATGCAGGGTTTTATCATTTATAGACATCACAGATCACTACCAGAACATCACATTAAGTTTATTTTCGATGTAACAGCAATGTTAAAATTGACAAGTTTAATTCTTAACTGCACCAATTATACTTAACCTTTTGAGTGTTTTCAAAGTTATTCCCTCCAAAAAACTGAGGGAACTTTTCTACCACCACACACCATAGTTTCCCAATAGTTCTCTTTTTGGAGGAGTTTCATCCGATGATCAAGCTGCTTTGGATGATTTCACAATTTCTGTCCCAAAATGAAAACTAATCTGGACAAATTATATATTGCATAGATTTCTCTACAGATTCTTTTCTTTTTTTGTGAACCTAAATGCAAATACCACATGGTATAATTTTAACCTAACTTCTCCCACAGTAAAAACTACCTATCCTGAAAAATATGATGACTATATCCTGTGACCTTCCAGTTAATAGAATTATTGTTTTACCTCAAAGATAATTTTTAACTTGTATCAAAATAAGCAATGCAACATGGGACATTACTTCAGTCTTTACTGACTCAGGCATAGCGACTAGTGCCCACCTTCTACCTCTTCCACATCCTCCTCCTCCATAAGTAACTACAAGTTTGATGTAGGACAATTAACTCTTTCCAAACATTACAATTTAGGTTAAATCATTGACTAGTGGAGGAGGAAAAAAAAAAAAAAAAACGCGAAAAACTTCATAATACAAGGAAGCCTACATACTCAATTCAAAATTTAACAATTTTCCCTCCTTAAATAATATGTACTTAATTGACATGAGGCAGCTATTTGGTTTTAAATAACCACATTTAGGGATACATTCATAGGACTGATTATAGTCCAGGTGAAATGGTTATAGAAATAGAGGCAGTGTCATCTCAGAAAACTCATTTATACATCAAAATCTATTCTGATATCTGGAAGCTTACAAAAAAGGCTGGATTCTTCAAACTAATTATGACTTCTATAATTCAAGCACTCTTCTTGGCAAGAGCAAGCTGAAGCTTATCTATGAAGGTAAAGGTGCTTAATGCTAAACTTCTCCTCTAAACTTAAATTTGAACTGCTTAAGAAACTGATACCCAGGAAACCAGCATGGTCTTTCTACATTTTTACTCATCTTAAGATCAGAATTCTAGAAACTCATTCAAGAACTATCTTTTTTTCGGTTATTATTCTTGGCACTCAATTAAGACTACTGCAGTCTACTATACTTTGTATCTTCACATTATGAAATAAAACTTAAGGTTTTAACACGTGCATATGCATCTTGTAAAATAATTTTATCATTTAACATTTGGAGATGGAATTTTTATACTAGAATTCTTCATAAGAGAATAAGCAGTATAAATCAGCCTTCCTTTTCAGTTTAAATGACAGAAAACTCTGTGTATTATTTTAAAGCCTAATGTGAATATTTTTGGGCTATCAGTACTGACAATCTGAAAAATTCAAAATATTGAAGGTGGGACTAAGGGAGGAAAACATGAATATTTCAGATATCTCCATCTTACAAAAAGTTATCAACCTGTCAAAGCCACTCCCTATGTGCCAGAAAACAGTCTGGCATAAACTAGTCCTGTCAGTAGGAGTCACAGTGACATTTACATTATTAACACTTTATACTTCTACTTATCCAAGAATAGAAGCAATATGTCTAACAAGTCTCCTTATCCCAAATCCTTAAACTCAATATCACAGGCACAGAGTGTAAACAAATCTGGGATGTTCTCCAACAGATAAGCAATAGCCTAGCTATGTTATTCTCAAAAATACTGTCTAGATATTCTTTCCTATATAATCAAATGCTCAGTGGCCACATTTTTAACAACCTGCATTAGTCAACATTAAATGCATTTATTGTGCCACAAGTCCATCTAACTTTTTTTTTTTTAGATATTTTTAATATGTCCAAGAGAAAACACCTGTTTCAGGTTTATTTAGGGGCACTGTCCTGTAAGGACATCAACTCCATTTTTAAGGTTAGACTAACTATTGTTGGGTTTACTGAAGAAAAAGGACAAGGAATAAAAGTCACAAAAAACTTCTTTAGGTCAGTTAAAGGCCGTATCTCTAGCTGGGATATTAAAAAAAAATTAATCTCACCAGCCCACACTCTAAACATTAATGCCACTAGTAACAATCAACAGCAGGAAAAATATACCTGCTAACAACAAGCCCACTCAATAGCAAAAAAAGCAGTTTAACTCAAATACTTAGACTAAAGTACAATACTACCTACCCAAAATACCCCACCCACCAGCAAGAGAAAAAATAATTGCTTAAAAAAACCTAAATAAATTTAGTATTTCTTACAAGTTTAACAAATGGTCCAACTCCTGAAAGAGTGCTCAGAAGGACTAAAGGTGGAGTGAAGGCAATGTCTAGGATTAGAATCCCACAAATAGTCTTTAAAAACTCAAAGTACCACAAACACACTAAACTTGTCTATGAATTAGAGAATAAGATATTGCTGCTGCTTCTCTTTTTGTTTTGAAATACATAATATTTTGTTGGCTCTGACCTTCAATGTGAATGCAGGACATTTTAAAAAATCATCTAAAAATGTGAAATTATTTGACACTCAAATTTTTGGGACCATGTATCTTAACTGTGAAACTAAACAGATTTACCTTCTCCTTCCTTCAATCAAACCACCTCACAAATATAAGAGAACTAAAACAATCCAAACATGATTATTTTCAAAAGTCCTTGAAAATATTAAAACTTTTACAGGAAAGAAAAGGAGAAAAATAAGGAAGGAAAAGCTTAAAAAGAAAAGGGGGGGGGAATCAACGGGCCTCTCTTTTATTTGGCGACAAGCAAGTGCAAGAAAGTTCTTTTGTAATTTGTTCAGTTGTCTGTCTTTTGCACATCTGCATTTTGACCAGAAGGGACTTTGAGGTTTTTCTGCAGCACATGAGCATCTGCGGGTTCTATCCTCTTATAGTAGTTCTTCTTTGTCTCAATAATCTCAAAACCAAACTTCCTGTAGAAGTCAATCGCTGATTCATTGCTGATCTGGACGTGCCTGGGGTATAAGAGGGTATCAGGAAGATCATTAATATTAAGGTTTTATCCACTTTTATGAACTTTTAAAAGTGACAAAGTCTTTAATATTCATTTGGAACTAGAATATTGCAGGTATTTATTACATTCTCTTTACAATTAGCAGTAATCAAAAAAATTACATATTCATTTTAGAAAATAATTTCATATTTTTAACCTAATTCTTATAAGGCTGATTGAGATTAAGTGACTAAATAATAGTGTTTATTCTTGTAGTCAATGAAGAATAAACTACCCAAGGTATAATATTTTTGACTGTACGGAGAAAAGATTTCTATAATTAAAAAATGGGTTGGGGGGCCAGCAGGAGGCATGGTGGTTAAGGTGGTGGATTCCCATGTGACAGACCACAGTTCCAGTCCTGGACCCAGAGACCTGAAAATATGAATACATATCCAAGATCCCAAGAGGGTAATGGAGAGGGAATTTTGGTAATAGCCATCCCCCTTGGGCAGTGATGTCTTATTTTCTTATTTCTCATTTTCCCTTATTTTCACTCTCTCAGGTTAAGTGCATACACCCTATATGGTAAACACCTAAAGAAAAAAAAAAAAAAAACCCAGAAAACAAAACACAAAATGCCATTATTTTGAAAATAAGAACGTACTTTCTCAATTATCCCAAGACAAGACCCCCAAATTTAATTTCTCTCACTGCTAAACTGAATTATAAATAAAAATAATCCATGCCTGTGATTTTAGTCTTGATTCTTAATCCATGGCCATTTATGACAACTAACCAATGTCTGATTTTGACCACTAAATGCTACTAAAAATGAACACATCACTGCTACTTTTGAACAAACATGTAAAGTACACAAACAAGCTGGAACGAGTAAAGTAGTATTAATGGTATTAAAGGTCTTAAATTGTGAAGACCTGAGGTATGTATAACTCAGGTTTCATCCTTCTGTTTGGAGCTCCCATCAGCATAATAAAGCTAGGTGTTTTATCTCAGCCTCCTCACCTATTATTAAACAAACAAACCAGAACTTTTTAACAGCAACTTTTATAATGTTTCCAAAAATTCATTAAGTGACCAAATTTTAACAGTAAAAATGTCTGTTATCAATTTATTCCACTCTTTACAGACAGGAACATTAATATTTTACTTACAGATAGATGTTGTCAAAAGTGCCATCTTTTTCACAGATGTTTAAGACATGATTTAACATTTTAGTTCCTATCAATAAGACAAACAACAAATAAGTAATCTCATAAATCAGCCTTTAGATTATATCTCTGCCTGTCATCTTTACTTACTGAGTCCTAGCAAAATTTACGAGGTATACAACAGATATCCTTACCTTCCAAAAGTTTGTTCTTTCTCTATAATAGTTAATAACATATATGTTGGGGACCAGCAGGTGGCATGGTGGTTAAGGTGCTGGACACTCCCACATGGCTGACCATGGTTCAAGTCCTGGACGTGGTAGCTTGCTTTCTCACTCCCCCCCCCTCACCCCAGAGTCTCTCTCTCTCTCTCTGATCAAATTAAAATAAATGAATGAATAAATAAAATAAAATTAAAATAAAGTTAAATAATTCTTAAAAAAAAAACATATTTGTTTAAAACTGTTAGAAGAGCGATCTTTTAATATAAGCACTTTCAGGTATAAGTTAACAAAATAAAAAGGGACGTAAGTCACAAATTTATGCAGGGCTTCCAAATGAATTAGATTAACAAAATAAACACTAGTTATTTTTCATCTTACATAATAATTCATCAAGTCCTTCCCCAGTATGCCTAAAAACAATAAATTGACTTTCTAGGCTAAGTACATTAATAAGCAATGCATGTGGAAACTTCACAATGTTCACAGAAAGACCAGCCCTGAAGGGAGTTTAAGGGAAGCAGGATCCCATGTAGTAGATCTTGCTTCAAACCCTGGCCCCAGAGGCTTGAAAAGTATGCCAGGTGTGTGTGTGTGTGTGTGTGTGTGTGTGTGTGTGTGTGTGTGTGTGTGTATGAATAGAAACACACAGTCTGGTGGAGGTTTAGAGTTTAAAAAAGAGATTGTGGCATGACAGGGAGCCACTCCAGAAAAGTGAAATACTTTTTCTGTCTAGAGCACGTGTCTTCTGCCAATTAAAAAAGTTCATGGAAAAAAAGAATGAACTTGAGAGTATTTTTGGTGCAAAAAAGAATTGAAATGCATGCCTTTTTTTACATAAAAATACTGCTGCATTATCTGAACTTTCTGAAGCCCTTAGTATTTATGCTTCTTTCAAGAAGTAAAAAAAAAGCAAACAAAAAAAAAAACCACAAAAACAACTTTACCTATTCCTAGCCTTCGGTAAGGTGCCAGACATCCTAGTGTCATGATGTAAAGTCTCTTCTGATTCTGTGAATGATCCACCCTACAGCATACTGCACCTACAGCAATATCGTTGAAATAGGCTGCCATGGAAAATAGAAAGAACACATTTTATTTAATCATCTCTTCCCCTTGTAAAAGACTAAACTGTTGCTATGTTAGCATTAAATTCATCAGCTAGTCACAAATATCAATAGCCTCAAAAACCTTTTATATCATCTTAGAAGTTTAAGCCTCCCGTAGAATAAAGTTAAATAAGTGAAATCACACAAATACATACTAATAAAGAACATTTAGCATTCTCTTTATTAAAATATTTTACCTTGATTTGAGATTTTCTCAGACCTAGACCATTCCCATTTCTTTACTTATATAATAGACAATATTATTTAACTCTTTTTCTCTAATATCAAAAGCTAAAGTTGAGGGACCAGCAGTTAGCGTAATGGCTATGTCACTGAACTCCCATGTAGTCAACCGTGGTTCGAGCCCCAGACCCAGTGGGTTAAACTCATGCCAGGCGCGTGTGCATGTGGAGGAGAAGGGACTGCGGTGTGGCCATCCCCTCTGGGGAATGATTTCTCACATTCTATCTATCTGTCTCATCTTTTTGGTGAGTGCATGCGCCCTATAGCAAAAATCTCTCAAAAAAAAAAACAACCAACCAAACAAAAACACTACTTGAAAAACACAGATAACCAACAGGAGGAAAAAAACATATACCAAGTTTTGCTAGTTCGCCAACCTCCAGCACATCCTTGTAGAACTTGTCATTGTAGCTGACTGGAAAGATGACCTGGTTCAATCTCTTCAACTGTTTAATATTGTGTGGTGTCACATCTCCCAGCTCGATCCGGCTACTGGAACAAACCAAAATGTACTCAATAAAATATAATTAGCTTCATCTGTTCAGCTAAAAGGAAAACATTACAGAAAAATACAATGACCAGCAGCTAGCATAATGGTTATGCCACTGGACTCCCGTGTAGTCGATCACGGTTTGAGTCCTGGACTGGGTGGCTTAAACTCATGCCGGGTGCGTATGCGTGCATGCCCAAGATTCTGAGAGGAGAAAGGAGGAAAGGTATTGTGACACGGCCATACCCCATGGGGGTGTGTGTGTGTGATTTCTCGCTGTCTGTCTGTCTTCCTGGCAAGGGAACATGCCCTATAGCAAAAATTGTCTCAAACAAACACACACACAATGCTATTTTCATAGTGACTTTATTTTCCTACAAAGATTATTATTTATAAGCAAGTTTGGCCAACCATTTGATACAAATTCCATTCATAGTTTTTATACAACCATACACATGGAAAAGCAAACACAGTATACAACTATTAGGAAGGCCAGAATAATATTTTATGATAAATTCCAAAAAATTCCTTGTGGGGACCAGCAGTTGCTGGTCGAACGTGGTTCGAGTCCTGGACCCGGTGGCTTAAACTCATGGTGGGAGCGTGTGTGTCCGTGCCCAAGATCCCAAGAAGAGACTGGAAGAGAAGGGATTGCAGTGTGGCCATCACCCCCCACCCCCCGGAAGAGGTGATATCTCGCTTTTTGTCTCGACTGACTTTGTTTTCCTACAAATACTATTATTTATAAGATAATAATATCTTCCTACAGAGTCTGTCTTTCTGGCGAGTGCACGCGCCCTATAACAAACCCCCCCCCAAAAAAAATCCTTGTGGTTTATAGTTCTGAAAAATTTAGATGTAAGGGGACTTCATAAAAATCTTTGAAAAAAAAAAATGGAATTTTTTAAAAGATAAAAATAAGGTCTAGCACTTGTGACATAGATGGTAGCATACTGGACTGCAGAGACAGAAGTCACATGCTGACCATGGCTTGAGTCTCCTGTCCGATTGACTTGACAATCGTGCTGGGCACATGTGCATATGCTCAGGATCCTAGTGGGCTCGACGACCAGGAGGGGGCTGCAGCATGACTAAGCCTTGTGCAGGGTGTTCTTGATCTTTTACTCTCATGAACACACTCTATCATGAAATACAAAAATTAAAAGATAAAAATTAAGAAATAAATTTTGTCAACACAAGCTTTACCAAAGATGAGACTTTTACAAGTGAGATAACATTTACTTCATCCCTGAAAAATTGAGAGCACTACAAATTTAGCCGTGTCTTTTTTTGTTTTGTTTTTAACTCAAGGGGGGGCTATGCACTCATCAGAGAAAGAGAGACAGAGAGTGGGAGAGAAGGAGGATGCACCTCCCAATGGGGTGTGGTCATACTGCAACATCTTCTCCATTTTTCCATCCTCCTGGGAATTTTGGACATCCTTGCACATGTGCCTGGCATGTTTTTCAAGCTACCAGGGCCATGATTCAAACTGCTGTAGATGTAGGATCCAATTCCTCTAACTACTAGGTAATGGGGCTAACCCATTAAAAAATATTTTTGTTATTTTTGCTGTAAGGTGCATGTACTCACCAGAGACCACGAGAGAGGAACTGAAGGGGAAAAAAAAATTCAGGAGGAATGCCCACACTGTGATCCCTTCTCCTCCAGTCTTCTCTCAGAATTTTAGGCATGTACTCACAAGCACCCAGTGTGATTTTCAAGCAGCAGGATCTGGGACTCGAACAGCACATCCTGCCATGTGGGATCCAGTGCCTTAACCTCTGTGCTACCTGCTGGCCCCCATCGTTTTTTTATGTATTAACTGAAAAAAGTAGATGCCCTTTAAAATCTTAAGAAGGACCAGCAGATGGCGTAATGATTACGTCCCTGGACACCCACATAGTTGACTGTAGTTTGATCCTGGACCAGCGGCTTAAAACTCACACTGGGCATATGAGTGTGCATGCCCAAAATCCCGAGGAGAAGGGATTGGAGTGGCTATACAGCCTAGGGGGTGATTTCTCCCTTTCTGTCTCTCTGACGAGCACACATGCCCTAAAGCAAAAAAATCTCTTCCTCAAAACATACCCTAACAACACATACACACAAAAAAATCCCAACTTCTAAAGATTAGGAAACAAGTCAGAAGGAGCCAAATCAGGACCGTAAGGTATAAGCTTTCCCACACTCTTGCCAAAATGCCCTTATTTGATGAGAAATGGTGAGGAATACTGCTGTGGTGGAGAAATTCTCCAGTGAAGCCTTCTTGAGTGTTTTTCTGCTAAAGCTTCAACTAACTTTCTTAAAACACTCTAAGAATAAGTAAGATGTTTTCATTGTTGGCCTCCCAGCAAGTCAATAAGCAAAATGCCTTGGGTATTACAAAAAAAACTGTTGCCATAACTTTTGTCCTTGACTGGTTCACTTTTTCTGTGACTAGACCACTTCCAGCTTGTGGTAGCCATTATTTTGATTTGTACTTTGTATTCAGGATTGTATCAGTAAAGCATGTGTCTCGCTACAGTTCTTTAAAGAAAAGCTCTGCGCTTGTCTGGGTATAATGGTTTTGGCATTCATATAGCAGAATGTGTTACACTTGAACTTTAAAAAAAAAAAATATTTATTTTATTTTATTTATTCATTCATTTATTTTTAATTTGACCAGAGAGAGACAGAGGGTGAGAGTGAGAGAGAGGAAGTGAGAAAGCAAGCCACCAGATTCAGGACTTGAACCCTGGTCAGTCATGTGGGAGTGTCCAGCGCCTTAACCACCACGCCACCTGCTGGTCCCACACTTGAATTTTTCAGATAGAAAACTAACTGGGATGGGGACCAGCAGTTGGCCTAATGACTGTAATGGCTGTATCGCTAGAACTCCCATTTAGTTGACCACAGTTTGAGTCCCAGACCCGGTGGCTTAAAACTCATGCCAGGTGTGTGAGAACCCAAGATCCTGAAAGGAGAATGGAGGTGAAGAGATTGCGGCGTGGTCATCCCCCTGGGGGAAGGGTGATTTCTCACTTTCTGTCTCTGTCTTTCTGGCAAGCTCACGCACCCTATAGTAGAAACCTCTCCAAAAAGAAAAAAGAAAACCAACTGGGATACCTATGGTATTAGCTATTGTTTTTGCTGTTAATTGCTGGTCCTCCCAAATTAGGTCAGGAACAAGATTAATCTTTTCTTCATAAATTGATGTGGATATTCTGCCAACTGCAGGTTATCACATTAAACATCTCATTTCTTTCTTTTTTTAAAATTTTTGCTTGGGGCTGGCAGGAGGCATAGTGTTTAAAGGCGCTGGATTCCCACATGGCTGACCATGGTTCAAGTCCCGGACCTGGCAGCTTGCTTTCTCGCTTTCCCTCTCTCTCTTGTCCCTGGCCAAATTAAAAAAATAACTAAATGGAATTAAATAAAAAATTTGCTATAGGACATGTGTGCTTGCCAAAAACAGCAAAAAACGATCCCCAGTGTGAATGCAACATTACAATCCTTTCTCCACTTTCCTCTTGGTGTTTTGGGTACACAGGCACACGCATTTGGTCTGTTTTTCAAGACACGGAGTCTAGGATCCAAACCTTGTAACTGGCCAGGTGGGATCCAACTGCCTTATCATCCATATCATCTGCTGGCCCTTGTTCTTCCTTTTTTTCAGTTTAAGTTGCCAGAACAATCTTTAAAAATATGTGGATGCACATAAATATGATACAATATTTTACTGTTTTACTGTTTTTTTTTTTTCTTTCATGAGTGACAGATAGGAAGAAAAAGTATCCTCAACAGAGTCTTGTTACACTATGATCCCTTTCCCCTGCAGTTCGTCAGGATCTTGGCCACATACACACTCACTTGGTATGTTTTCAGGCCAACCTGGAGATACTGAGGTGGGCAACATGGCTTCCAGCACTGCAATTCAATTTGCTTGTGACTGTCAAGAGGTTGAGCCCAGATTTTTAAAAAGGTGCATACATGTTAGTGTTCTTGTTGTATTTTCTTCCGGTTGCTAACCATAGGAGCAAATATAACCTCGCAAGTACAGATGCTCCTCGACTTCCAATAAACACATCACGAATTGAAAATATTGTAAAGTCAAAAACCAATTTAGTACACCCAAATGACCAAACATTAGCCTCATCTACCTTAAAACACATGCAGGGGACCAGCAGGTGGCGTGGTGGTTAAAGTGGTAGACACTCCCACATGGCTGACCATGGTTTGAGTCTCGGACCTGGTTTCTCATTCTTTCTCTCTCTCTGCCTCTCTCTGGTCAAATGAAAATAAATGAATGGGTGAATAAAATTAAATAATTATATATATATATATATATTAAAGAAAAAAAACCAAAAAACACATGCAGACCATTCACATTAGCCAACACTTGGGAAAATCATCTAACCCAAAGCCCATTTTATAATACAGTGATGAATATCTTTTACTTTATTGAATACTATACTGAGAGAGAAACAAAATGGCATGCTGATGCCCAAAATTAGCAGGAGCTTGGAGAAAAAAATTGAACATTGGAAATATGGCTTCCACTTGCTTTTGCACCATCATAAATAATTAATTTGAACAATTAAGTTAGGGACCATCTCTCCTTGACAAAACTGTAAAAAACTCCTGCATAAATTCATGTTTTCTTTAACTAGGTTATGTCATATTCACGTAACTTCTTCTTCATTAAAGCAGGGTTTTGTTTGTTTGTTTGTTTTTAATTTGCCAGAGGGCATGTGTGCTTAATGGAGAGACAGAGTGTGAGAGAGAAAGCACTCTCCTGCAATTACTTCTCTTTCACTTTTCCCTCCTGCTGGGATTTTAGGCACATTCACACATGTATCCAGCATGTTTCTCAAGTCTCAGTGGGACTGGCACCATGTAGTTGGCTATGTGGTAACCAGCTGCCTTAACCACCAACCTTGCCACTAACCTGTCCCACATACCTTGGGTTTTTATCTCTTCATAATAAATTTATTTCTAGACAGAGAAAGACAGACAGACA